TCATCTTACCAGATATAGTTTAGTCAAAATGCATTTATTTTAATAGAAATAAAATAAAACAAATAATCACCTTTTAATTAAAAGCTAAATAGACCAAAAGAAAGTTTTATCTGACGGATTTTTGAATGTTCTTTAGAACCGTCAAACTTCGAAAAGGAAGAAAAAACCGTACTGTTTAATAAAAAAAGTTAAAAAGAGACAGCGAATAAGCTAAAAAGCTAAACATAGATTACTGCATAAAGCTAAACGACAAGCACCTTACACGTAAGCACAGACTACTAAGAGGATACTACGTATCATCAATGTCGCCACATTGAATTAATGTAGGCCTCTAGACTGCCATCAAAAAGTTTGTATAATATATAGTCTTTATAGTTGTAATTGAATTTAGTAACAAAAAAGTCTCCAAATGTCGCAAAATATAATTAAAAAAAAACGTGAAACAAAGAAAAATTTATTTTAATAGGTAATGGAATGTTGTTGCGATATTTTTTCATCCAGAGAACCTCTGTTTCGGTTCCTTTACATTTTATAATTTCGTTCGAAGTAAGTAGGGACAGAACAGACTGTGAAATTGTCCCTAAAGGTCACCAGAATATTTTTTGCCGCAAACATCGAATTAAGCTCCCTAAATTAACAAAAAACTCGTTAGATTTAGCGACAAAGTCGCTAAATGGCTACTTCGCTGCACAAAGCTGCCAGGTCGTTTATTACTACGAGCTAACGGAATTTGTTTTTGTATATATATATATATATATATATATATATATATATATATATATATATATATATATATATATATATATATATATATATATATAAAGTCATAATAAGGGTACCTTAAGGTAAAAGAAAAAGGTTTATTATTTTTTGCTTTTCAGTTTTTTCGGTGGTTTATTTTGTTAAAAAGTCTCTATTCTACGTTTAGTAGCAATATCCATAGTTTAATATTTCAGAAAGAAACATAACAACAATAATTTTCCTAACAAATTAACTTCTCCGCTATGAAATCGGTCAAATAATTCACCTTATTCCAAAGGGGCACCGCCCTAGTGTCAAAAAATGCCGTGGATGCCCTCATTCTGGGATTACAGAAATGTTTCTTACTGTGGTAAAGGACAATTTTATGTACAATAGTAAACTAATGCGTTTTTCAATTGGCGCAGGTAGATTTTGGCACCCTTTTTTAGTAACATCTATTATCAAATCTTTTGTTTATTATTCAGATACTTATGCCAAAATCACTATTGCAAATTACACGATTGAACGGCATGTTTAAATGATAAAATTTTATTATCAAAATAAATATTCGTTAGTGCAAAGCGCTTATTGCGCTCATTTCACTGTAAACGTGATGGTCCTTCACAGTCGACTCTTCAAATTTGTAACTGGTTCGGTAAACAATGAGCCAACACCGGTACGTTCAAGGAACGCAAAATCGGCCGAGAACGTCATCGCGGTTCGTGAAAGTGTACAGCAGAACCCGAGGCAGTCAATTCCTCACCGTGCACGAGAACTCTGCCTTTTGCAGACTTCAAGTTTGCGAATTTTACGCGGGGCTTAGGCCTACAGCCGCAGAAGATCCAACTGACCCAGGAGCTCAATTCATGACCATAGACAACGCCGTTAGTTCGCTGACTGGGCTTCGAATCGTTTGGAAGAGTACTCTAATTTTGTCCGAAAAGTCATCTTTAGCGACTAGGCGCATTTTTGGATGAACGGATGCTGTGTTAACAGCCAGAATTGCCGTATGTTGGACGACAGCAACCCACGTGAGGTTCACCAGGTGATAATGCATCTTCAAAAAGTTACCGTTTGGTGTGGATTTTAGGCCGGCGGCGTTATTGCTAAGGACTGTTGGAGAATTTATTTAAAACTTAACATTTCTAATTACATAATTCAATATGTGGACATTTGCGATACTATAGAAATTCGTGGTTTCAAATTAGTGTGAATTGAATATAATATGATCTTTAATAACATTAAATCAAATCAGCTATCGTTATTTATTATATATATATATATATATATATATATATATACATATACGAACTTACAGTCGTATACCTGATGGTGTATTTACTTTGGGCCTCTCAAGTAGCTTAAAATTGGATATTATGCCAACGGAACTGAGTTAATTTTTGTGCTTAATTAAATTGTGAATCTTCTTTTATTTATATCTTTAATTGGCTCCAAGTCTATGACTTGCATCTCAGCAGTTTTTGTAAGAATTAGAATCTACTAGTTAGTCTGTGAGAGAACCAAGGCTATACTACCATTAGTACTCTTATTAGCTTGTGACTACCAGTATCCATGCTGTAAAGAATGGGATTGAAAATCGTATCGCCTTATTCACTTTTAGTTCGCGCAATGTCGTTATCTATACTCACACCCGCCGATAAAGTCTGCATAAAAATATGTTGCTATATGCGTTTTCCGTACGTTCTATAACTTTATAGTCCAACTTGTCACTGGAATCAATGACAACAAAATGCCATAAACTACAAAAAACATTCATTCTGGTTTTGCTAATTGTTGATTTTTTAATATCGATTATTAATGTTTTTATATGGAATACATGGCACTGAGAATCCGAAAAATTTAGAGATTTTACTAAAATGGAAATATTGATGAGATAAAATAAATGGTCATTAATAATTATCTCAAGTCTTAATAACACCACATTAATAGATCCCGCCCAAGCGAAGCCATAGCGGATCGCTAGTTATAAATGTTGTTTTAGATTAATGTATTTACTTGGGTATGCAACTCTTTTTAAATATTTTCCTATTTTCAGAAAATTTAAGATTAACGTAATAATATAACGGTAAAACGATCTACCATTCTTAGCGGATTTTCTGTGCATATTTACGGTACGGGCTCGATGAGCCGCCATTTTACAATGGATAGGATTACTCCTATTATTTATCCGTATGAGTTGTACGAAAAGTGAGAGTTTTGGTGGGAACTTGACCGTTAACGGATAGTTGTTCCTGTTTTAACTTTAAATAATGGTTTGAAGTGGATTTTGATACGCAAAAGTGATGCAATTTTATGTATAAGGTTTGCGCATGTGAACTATTAGAGAAAACGAAGAAAAAGTGCTTCAATGTTAATATAAACCACAAGTTATATTGATCGCTTGTGCACCTTATGATTTTAACTGACTGTCGTTATCGACTATTCACTGGGTTGAGCTGTCATCGAAATCTCCCAAAAACTTTGCAAGTTGACGCATCAGCATGTTGTAAAGAAAAATATAAAAATGAAGATCCCGAATGAAAAGAAGACACGGCTTAAAGGACTAGTATCCAAGCCAAAAATCTTAATAAAAACAAAAAATAGAAGTAGGGGTAAGAAAAACATATTAGATGTAAAACATCGGATCCCAGCATCGATTTTTATCTATATATCGGTAGAAAACAGCGATATCTTTTCACTATCGAATACTTTTCACAAAAGTTTAATATTACTTTTTTCCAATGTAACATGCAAAGTTTGTGGTGCTTGATTTTGTATGTGTGAATGTGGAATCAGAGACCAGAGTAACATAGCAGCATATTTTGCATTTTACAAAGTTTTCATTTCACTCAATTTTCGTAAAAACCTTCCATATATGACTTTTCTTTGGAGGCGCCATCTTGTTATTAACTAAAAAAATCCGGCCAAGAGCGTGTCGGGCCACGCTCAGTGTAGGGTTCCGTAGTTTCCCGTCCGTCACAATAAGTGTTCTCACTTATGAGTTTAAAGGTGGGTATTCATTATGTTCGCGCTCCAGCAGCGCTCCGCGCTCCTGCAACTGCTCCCGGTAGTGGGTACGTGCGCGAATATGGAGCGTGCAACATTGCACGCTCTGCGGCAGGCACTCCGACTCGTGATGGTTTTTAGCGCGAACACAAAGGGGAGCGCAGTGTGTCAAAGGGGAGCGCACGTAGAAGTGCGCGCGACGTATCCATTGGAGCAGTTACAGGAGCGCGGAGCGCCGCTGGAGCGCGAACATAGTGGTAACCCAACTTAAAAAGGATATTTATTACGGAACTCTAATAACTACGGAACACTAAAAACGGGCCCACAAAGGACGATGATAACTAAAAAAAGAGTTATAGATTCCAACCACACATGGAAAGTTTGAGAAAATATTGTCTATTTGAGTCCCACCACGAGTAGTGGGTAGGGATTGTAACATGGAGTGATAACCAGCGTCATTTAGTAATTTAAATACTGCAGTATTGCTGTTACTAAGGTAGTCTTCGTTAAAATCTCCAAATATAATGCAAGAACTATTATGCGACAGTAAATTATTTATAAAACCCACTGCGACGCTGTTGGGGCATTTGCATGATCTATATAAGGCTACTATTTTCACATTATTTACTTCAAAAGATACTGCTTCACAGTGCTCAGTTCCGGAAATTTCACTGTAAGATCGTGGGTTGGAATATTCTAGATTATGTCTTATCATGGCAGATACACCAAAGCCGGGGTTTGCAGAATACTGTTTCGGGCCATTTGTTCGAACTATTTCTTCAAAATTATTCATATTGAATAAATCTTGAAGGCAACTCCAAGTTTCTACGGCTAAATAAATGTCGCATGCCATCTTCTGCGGATCGATTACTACATCCTGCAAGTGTTTACGTAGAGATGTACGTTATGGAACACAATTTGGCAGGGGGCTCTCTTAAAAAGCGATATATGGGAATCAGGGGATTTAATTTTAATTTTCGCATTTCCGTTACGACGGAATCATGCTCAGATGGTGGACGTGGAGGACGAAAGGTCTCGGTAACAATGAATAAACCTTGAGCGCTAGTGGCACGTGAGCAGGCGACGTATAACATAGATCTTAAAATATTGGGATTTAAATGTACTACAACTTTTTCTAAGGTGCAACCCGGACTTTTATGTATAGTAACAGCTTCAGTGGGAACTAATGGGAATTGATTGCGACGCACTTGTAAGTTTGAAGATTTGTACATTTTCACAGTGTACGTAACTGGCTATATTGGAGTCCAATTATTTTTTAACCGTGTTTGATAACGAGTGAGGGATGTTGAGCTCTGAATTCTTTTTAATTTGCCTATATTTACGTCATCGAAACATATCCAAATGCGTAATGGTCTTCTCTCACCGGTAGTTGGATTGACTGCAAAATCAATCGCAGTCAGTACCCCCGTGGTTCCATTCACTAGTCCGTCTGACGTGTTAATATTTACTGTCATCATATATTTAGCCGTGACTTTTAAAGTTATAGCATTAGGTAATCCGTAGGTTTGAGACGTAGGTAACTTGGCAACTGTGTTTAGAGGTTTCTCTTTCATAGCAGGATTAGCTTCGCCACTTACTCTATCCACAGCCCGGGATATCGCTCCTTCGGTAGTCATATTTTAGAGTATTTTAGAATTATGCTCATCAACTTCTCGGTTACTGCTGAATAGATGAACTGCGCCCTTACATGTGTCTGGAAGTGATGAGTTACTAAAGCACCGACCTTCAATTAAATTGACATCTTCAGGTGACATACATCCACTAGCCATATTATTTAATGCCGTTGCAAAGGCAACATCATCCCTTTGACGCATTATTTCTTTAAGCTCTGTCAGTACAAATAAATCCCAAAGCGGCGTACCTGCTATTTCTGCTAAAGGATTTCGAGAATTAGCTTGAAACACCCAGTTGTCGCCAACAGGTGGTAATTGTCTGAAGTCTCCAACTAATCAATGAAATTCCAGAAAAGAAGGTAGAAGAATGAAATATTTGCTGAAGTCTACGATTTATTTGATGTAATGTCCTGGATCCTAGCATTGAAATTTCATCAATTACAATTAAACGTAGTTTTGCTAGTTTTGTGGCCAGAGTATTGGCCACACTTGGCGACAGCTCTGGTAAAATATTGCCCGCTTGAGACACTGGAAGTCCAAGTGCGCTATGGATTGTTTGCCCTCCTATTCCGAATGCAGCTTTACCGGTAAAAGCTGTTAAAAGTATTTTTAATTCATCGGGATTACTACCAGCTTCACTGTTAAATAAGAGAGTTAGGCATTGATAAATTGCTTTAATCAGAATACTTTTGCCAACGCCAGCCCCACCACTGATAAATAAATATAGTGGATGTGGAGAAGTAATGGAAAAGTGTTGATAAATATGAAATAACGTGTCTCTTTGAGCATCATTTAGTTTTCTAGTTAGAATCAAAAAATCGTCATGGGACAAGAGAGGCGGTTGCGCAATGAAAGTTGAGGGGTCACCACGCAATTTCGGATCGAGATTCTTCTTCTTCGTTTATAAATTCTGCATTTCTTATTTCTATTAGCAATGTTTCAAACATTTCAGCATCACCTGTTTATTGAATTGTTTACTTTCGGCCTTTAATCTTTCTTTATACTCGTCAAATATGTCCTTTATATTTATGTTGGGATTTAGTGATTCTTCCTCCTCGCTTCGCCAAGGGATGTATAGCATTATCTGTTCCCTATAGAAATTGTCTGGATCATCATTTACTCGAGTTTTAGTTCTTTTCCGTATGTATCCTAAATTATCAAAGGAATCCAATTCCCTTCCGCTTCAACTTCTTCAACAGCCTGGGAGTAATCAATTGCTTGAGAACTGTCATTGAGAGTTTCTATTGAATTAGCTGAATGAGTTTTTTTGGAATAGGTGTAATATGCTACAAAATGGGGAAGACTTATGTTTTCTAACGATAGTGGTCGTTTTGAATAATAATCAATAATACCCTTTTGGAATATATCGGAAGAATCAGGTTCGAGGCTTTGCAATTCAAGGTAACTTTTTAAAATATGCACTCGCTCTTGTGGCAAACTAGTGTTTATGTACATTGCAGCTTCACTAGCTCGTGACAGAGGTAAACCAGTCAGTACATAGATTGCCTCTTGAGCAGAGATCTCACTAGAATTTAAGAATACATTAGATACTATTCTTAATGAATCTTTAACACTTTTATTTCCTATTTTAGCTTCGTCCAAAGCTTCACGCAAAAGACGAGACATCCCTCGGTCAGCCTTGTTAATATAATCAACAATATATACTGCGCACGCAAACGGGTCTAATATGAATTGGATGTCCATGTTTGCTTTGTGCAAAGCTAAGATTTTTTTACTAAAAGGATTAATAAATACATCCTGAGGTCTGCGTTGAAGGACTACCGTAGGTCGTTTTAAGGTGCTTCTAATAGCTAATATGTAATCTTCATAACTAACTCTAATCCAGTCCAAAAAATCAACGAAAGTGTATGTTCCTGCAGGAATATTTTGTATTTTTTGGCAGATGTCTTTTGCCAATTGTTTTGACTTTTTGAACTCTGGATCGTCTTTTGAAAGTTCTATTAATACTTTTGTTTTATCCATGGGGAAAAATGGTGTTCCAAAGCGACACAGTCTATTTGATGTTGGCCGGCAAGTATGTGTATGTTTATGTAGTTGTAGACGTCTAAGTTCATCAGGTACTTCAGTGCTGTTACAGGAAATAATATTGTCAACAAATTTGGAAATATCATGAGCAGATGCTGTATCACCGGGTACAAAAGTGGGCGCTTCGTCTAACCATAACATCATATGAGCATGAGGCGATCCTCTATGCTGAAACTCAATGCGATAATAAAAGTGAGTGATTGTATAATTTAAGAAAGGTCCAGATGAACAGGACCAGGTTTTTTGAATTTATTTTAATTTGATTTCAAAATATGTGGCGCAAATGAACAGATCGGATTGTATAAGGCGAGTTTTTGTATCGTATGGCAAGTTTTCCGCTTCAAGCTCAGTAAGTTTTTTCTTATCAACTACTTCACTAAGCAAAATTAATAATTGAATCCATTGCACTTCAGCAGCAGATATAGTTAAAAATAAAGAGGGAACACCGAACTTACTTAATTTTCACTTTCCCAGTGAGCAGGAGAATTTCTAATTCCTCCAAGAACACGATACCCATCGTCATGTTGAACTAAATTGTCAACAAAATTATTTTGAAGCACATTACATGCAAATACAGGGGCACCTCTGGCAGTTTTCTTGCGTAAACAGGTCGTAACATTATTTTTGACGGCAATAGTTTGTTGCTTTTTCAGGGCAGTAAATAGGTAATCAGGTCTTACAGCTCGCCCGTCATTTCTGGAAATTTCTGAACGTGTGACTTCAGAATGACTTAAGTTCACGAGGTATTTACGCTCAATAGCGCAATGTACTTTTATGAAGGCCAGCTCTTCCAGATGTCGATCAAAAAGCAAGGAAATTGGCCTTTCACCTTCTCCTGGAGCCATAACTATTGTTAGGTCTTGGTTTTCATCTAACAGAGTTTCTGTGCCACCAGGATTTACATCAGGGATCTCATCAACATTGCTCTCCTGCTCAGGTGAACTACAGGTACATTCGACAGTGTCTTCAGGTTCATTATTTGTCCATGAACCTTCCGGAAGTTCTATACTTCAAGTTCTATAATTAGCTATTGCCAATCGTGGCATTCGCCCTTGAGTTATATATTTAGCACACGTACAGCAAAACTCCGCAGATTCATCACAAGGATTTAAATTAAATACACTTAACGCGAATTCTGCATTATATTTAGTCGAAATAGAATGCTTTATTAGTTTCCTTACAGGATTTTTGTGCCATAATCTACCACAACATGAACAAGGATGATTGTATCCTTCCTTGGTGTTATCAAAATATTTTCGTTTAACATTATCCCAATCATTAATAGAATTACAACGCGCCGATTGTCGAGCTCTGGTGTCTCTAGCTCGTTCAATTTGTGAATAATGTGAATCTTCGCGAGCTATTTGGTGAGCCTGGGTATCACACCGTTGCTCTATATCACGGAAGACTGGGTTTTCCCGTGCTATGCGGTGACCCTGCGTATTTCGCTGCTGCTCTGTATCCCGGAAGATAGAGTTTTCTCGAGCTGCACGGTGAGCCTGCGTGTCTTGCTGCTCCTCTGTATCCCGGAAGATAGGGTTTTCACGAGCTACATGATGAGCCTGCATGTTGCGTTGTAGCTCTGCCTGTATAATGACGGGAATCTGACGAGTGGCCGTGTGGCTCTCAGTATTTCGTATTTGCTTAGTCTGTGTGTAATCAGTATTTTTTCTTCTACGTGGCTTGGCCGGACCCAGTATGTTCGTTGTTGGCATGTCTTAATGTAGGACTTGGTTTTTCTTGAGTACTATACGTAAGTGCTAAACAGTCCATGGTCTGGATATCATTAGTCGGATTTTTATCTTTCTGTGATTCATCTGTAAATGTTGGACTTTCAATTATCTGCGTACTACCTGTAAACGTTGGACTTTCAAATATCTGCGTATATGTAGACGTTGAACTTTCATTCTGCGTATTATCTGTAAATGTGGGGTATTCAATGTTTTTTTTGTAATTAACGTTTTGACTTTCAGTTTCTTGAGACTGTGTCTTTTGAGACATTTTGTTTTTTTTTCTTTTCGGCATCTTTAATTTTACATTTTTCTTTCTTTTAATTAAGGAACAAATTTGCTGGTGGCCGGCCAGCTCTTCTTGCGGTGTTAGTTGATGGGAAAAGTTCTAATACACCTCGAGATAACATATCAAACAAATGACGTCGCATGTTCTCGGCAATGAAATTGATACAGGATGGATTCTAACTCTCAAAGCTAAAGCGGTGGCAAAACAAATGGCGAATAGCCCACACTCAATGCTGTTATTTGGTTGACGTTGGACACTAGGGAATTGTATTTTATTATTATTCAAGTACGGGAATAGTGCGTTAACGTAAACGTGCTGCGAATGACTTAAACTATTATATAAACCATCATAGACCCGTAATATTTCATTGATGTAATAAATGCAAATCCAATGCCCTACAAACCCGACTTCTCCGCCATATATAATTTGTAAATGAGACTCGTTTTGAGGCACAGGCTCTATTAGTTCCGGATAAAGAAAAAGAGACACTTCTCTAGGCCGAAACGATGTGTGTTGGGCTAACAAATCATGAAAGGCGCGCACAGCGTCGTCCTCAACATGATTATTACTATTCAAAATATACGAGAACATTTTAATACCGGACAATAAGTAATTATACACAAGTGTGTTTCACACTATTTTAACAAACTAGCCCACTTCAAATCGTAATTAGCTAGGAGTTGTACGTATCAAGTAACTGCGTACTGTGCGTACATACAAAATTAATATGAACAATATCCGCAAAAGAAGTTAATTTTACCCAAAATCTAATTTAATCAAACCTCGACGACTATTAGATTGTGCACTCATACGATTATGAATATGTTTAAGTGCAACTTCCTTTACTACGGTAGGTCATGAAAGCACGGAAAATATTAACATCGACTTTTAAAAAAATGACGTCATTATGCAACGCCATCTATCGAACCATTTATGAACTGGTTTTTACCTTAACATTTTGATGGCGTTAAAAAAATGAATTTTAGTTTTGTTCTAAATTGCCTTAGCATGTTCCTGATAGAAGTTTTATGTTGTTATAAGATACCGCCAATGCCAAGGAGAGACCAACCAAACAATTCGATAATACCCGAGCCAATGTAATAAGTACCTACAGCACCATCTCTCGGGGAATTGGATTACTAATTAATACATAGATGTTTTCAGTGGTAATTTTGGATTGCGAGAACCGATTTTAATAATTCTTTTTTTGTTTGAAGAAAGATACGTTCAGGATAATAAAATATGTAAACGAAGTTAAAAAAAATGCTTGCATATACGATTATACTACAAACATAGTCCAGAAATTATTTTGTACAACTTCTTGTCTTTTTTTGTACAAAAACTGTTTCCATCCAAGTTCAAAATGATTTTCCTAGAAAGTCCTTATAAAGTTCTATTTTACAGATTTTTTTCATATTTTCTAAACTTATGGTTCAAAAGTTAGAGGGGGGGGACACACATTGTTTTTAAGCTATTGCATAGCTTCTATCGCGGGCCTTGAGTGCGGGAAAATCCAGAAATTTCGTAACGAAAAAAACCTCACGCTCTCCGACGGGCACGGAGGTGTGGCTTGAAGGCCGTGCATTGTCTAACGACGGTCTAACGTCGTTTCTTTTCCTCAGTCTTCGACACGGTGTTTGTGTATAAAGTGTTTTGAAATTTTGAATATGAATGAACAAAGTGCATTTATTATTAAGGCTGCTCTCTCGCAAAAAGCTTGAAAAAAAGCGTGCAGATGAACCAACTTTTTGTCGACACTTACAGAGAAATTACATATGAAAAAAATAGCTAGTAATCTACATGATCCGATACGTAATTTGGTTTAGCCATAATTTTTTTATCCGTGTCACATAATAAATAAAAAAATACCCAAATCACCTCCAAATTGTTGAGATGAAACCACTTTACTCCTTCATTGTTTATCAAAGGAATATAAAAAAAATATCTACTGCTTTGCAATACAAAATAAAATAATTTGGTTTGGTTACTTTTTAGAAATATGTATTATTTTTATGATAATAAATTAAAAATGCGTCCCGATTAAATACTGCGTCTATATCACCCCCGCATTCGTCCACGAATTCAGTGCGGGGCGCATCGTGTTGCTAGGTGGACGTACGCCGCGTTGCGAGAGCTGAGCACTACGAAATAAAATCGTAAAATATTACTGCAAAAATTTAATTTTGTTAATAGTGGAGTAGGTTTTTTCTGATTCTTGTTTAATAGTAGTGTTTTATAGTTATATTAATTGTACAGTTTTATTAATGTTTAAGTTTAGTTTGTAAAACATGGGGAATAAGCAGAAACGATTGAAGAGAGGTCTAAAAAAATATTACAAACAAAAGGGTATACATTTATCAAGGTAAGTTTTAAGTTTTATTCATATTTCATAATATTAGACAGGTGCTGTTTATAAAATACATATATTACTGTGATTTCGCCACTCTGTGACGAGACAAAGCGCGGCAAACGCAAGTGGCGGCAAGGCGCGGGCCGCGTCGTCGCATGCTGGTAGCGCATGTCTGAGAAATTAAAAAATATATATTTCGAAGAAATGTGAAGTTCGTCAACACGCATTGAGGCAGCGTGGCGGACATTTCCTTGCCTTAAAACCCTCTCAGAAATCAGAGGAGGCCTGTGCCCAGCAGTGGGACGTATATAGGCTGTAACTTTACTTTTTTTTACTTTTATAAATATGTTATTATACCGACGAAAATTTTAAAGAAAAGAAAAATAAGCAACCGACAACCTCCTAGGTCCCTAGGTGACTTGCGAGATGTCAGTGTAACAAAACAAAACGGCCCAGAAAAACAGACTTTCCAACTGATAGCTAAATCAGCACGCAACAATTTCATTGGTGCCAGTGGGGATCGAACCCGGGTTGCTCCCGTACTGTGATACCTATAACGAGCGCTAACCATATGAGCTACCACGGCTCTCAACGACATCGTTCCGTTTGTGTGCTATAGCAGAGTAAAAAATTAGAGATTGTGGTGTTTGAAATTTGTCATCTGTGAGAGTGAATTTTATCTGTGTACTCTGTAACAAATAACTATATAGAAAAAAATCTGAAAATGATATTTCGCCATTTTTGTTTGTGTACTGGTTAGGAACTTTACATATAATAATTTACCTCGAAATTCACTATACGCGATTATCGTTTATTGATTATATTATGTTGTTTAAAAAGTATTCCTATCAGCTTTGTGTTAAATGGATGCTAAATATAAAAGAATACATTCATCTATATTGAGTACTAGTTTTTCCCCGCGATCTCGCCCGCGTGGAATATGGATTTCATGGGTTTTAATTTTTTTGCGCGGAACCCTAATTCTTTTTCTAAAACAAAAGTAGTTCAAGTTATTCCTTATATCATCAGCTATCTGCCAGTGAAAGTCCCGTCAAAATAGATCCAGCTGTTTCGGAGATTAGCTGGAACAAACAGACAGACAGACAGACCGACAGACAGACAAAAATAGTACTTTCATATGCATTTAATAAAAAGCTGTTATTTTAACATTACAAACAGACACTTCAATTTTATTTATTTGTAGATATAGATATAAGATATTATTCATATTGGTGTCATTTTAAAGGGAATATCATGTACTATTATAATAATAAAATAATTGTCTCCAGTAAATATTATACTTTTCTTGTAAAACTCGAAATAAGTAACAAATAAATACGATTTATTTTTATATTCCCATATGCTTTATTTTCATCCTTTATTTTTTATTTGACCAATTTTCTTTTAACAAAATTAAATTCTGAATTCGTTGAGCTTTTTGAGAATATTTTTATTTGAATGTTAGGTAGGTACCTATTTAGTTTTTCGGTAGTAATCGTTTTTGTTGCGACAGTCTCGCGCGGTCGTAAAAAAAAGTTACTGCGCGGACAGGTGGGACGAGAATCACTTGCGCGGCGTGGACGGTGGATAGGTAGTCTACCTACTGTTATTACCTAGATACCCACAACCTATACAACAAAATTTGGCAAACTGTCGCTGCGTCGTGGAAACTAAAATCTAAACTGCCTACCTACCTGCCTAAGTACGTCGGTACTAAGGAAACAGTCTTGACGGGTCACTTGTCTTGATAAAAACTTGTGTTTACATCTAGTGATATTGTGTGTATATAAAACAAAGTAAGAAGACAGGTAAGTATTTTTGAAGACAATTTATAGGTAGGCAGAACTAATTACAATTATTATCTAAATATTATAAATGCGAAAGTTTGGATGGATAGATGTATGTTACTCAATCACAGCTGAAGGGATCTGGATGATATTTAGCTCAGAGATAGGTTATACCTGGTCTGGAATAACACATTTGATACCGTTTATTCATGTATTTCGTTCCTGTGGGATAATTTTCGAGTTCACGCGTTTGAAGCCGCTGGCAACAGCTAGTACGGATATAAACTGCGATGACTGTTCCAGTTCATGCTTCGGCGTCGTGAACTCTTGAGTGATCGCTGCATGACCACCCGAGGAAAACAAAACATAATAAAATAAGCAATCTATATTAGGTATCTATAGAGCCATAGAGGTATAGTATAAAGCGATAACGCAGCACCTAATAATTTAGTACGAGTTTGTAGGTAGGTACTGCTGATTTCTCAGCAAGCGTCGAGCGGCACAGAATAGGGTGGTATGTATGTGTGCATCGTTTTCGTGTAACTTCGTTTTTGTTCTA